GGTATTAAAAGAACTTACACATTACATACACTTTTTTTTTTTTAAAAGTTGTGTTACACTCAATGAATTTAACTAATGGGTCCTCTGCTGTAAAGAAACGGAGAATAGATGGAGGTTTAAAATTTGAAATGAAGGTATTTCCATGGAGACTGATGTATCGGAGCCTCAACTAGGGCCAATCTGTAGCAAAAGACGATTCTTAAAAGCTACAACAGAAAAACCTCCTTTCCACTTTATCCAGAAAACTCAGAATTCACACCTAACTCGTAACACAAACTAAAAATGGGGGAGTGCGTTTTGGGGGAAAACCTCAACAGATTCAGAGAGTTAAGAAACTAAAAAAAAGGAATTCTAACTAGCCATTACAAAAAAGAATAGGGGAAGATTTCACATTTTAGAGAATACAGCAAAAGACAAATTTCCTATTTACAATCTAGATTGATAATTTTCTAGATTAAATACTTCGTAAAGTTCAAAGCTTTAGAAAAATGGTCATAACTTCAGCATTTGGGTTTATTAAAAAATACACTCTATTAAATCTTCTAAAATTCTGAAGTGATGGCAATTATTGACTAAACACTTGGAACAAGTATCTTTTTAGGTAGTACCACCAGCTTTGAGCACTGCCTCCCTGACAGCACAAAGGGAGCATTTTGTCAATTCACTCTATGTTCAGTCAGAGGACTGGAGGTCCATTAACAAAGGAGAAATCTACTCATCGCGCTCAAAACAAGGACTCTTGTTTTCTCCCCCATGTTTATGCAGCGACTGAAAAATGAGATAGATGAGGTCTGGCCTGGTTTATATGGCTACTTTGTAATGAAATTAATTGCATCCCAGAAGTCTTTAAGAATCTTACAGCACAAGATCAGGTTTTGAGAACATTATTTTCTCTCTTGTGTACCCAAAATACGTCAGGCAACTTAATTTTATAAAAAATTAGCATGTTGCCTTGTGCATTTACTTATATTCCAGTTTCTGTCCAAATTCAGTGTGATAATATTTTTACTCGTAATTAGCAGTTTAGCAAAAAAGCCTGTCAGATGTTTTGCTAGAATAGACAGTGACTTAATTTGAACACATTCAACATAAAGAAAATGGAAGTTTCACATTTTCTAAGAACAACTCAGTTTATAATTATTGATTTATACCAACAAATAAAACCACATTTTTTCTTAAAAACATAAAAGGGAGGAAGCTTCCAACACAGATTGTGCCCAGCAGTGAGGACTTGCAGGAAGAAAATAAATCCTGATTGCTGCACACTTCTGGAAGAAAGGTCAGCCAAATGACCACAATAAACCAGAGAGAAACCACAAGTAGACAGACACTTTTTTAAGAACAGGTTACATGTTTGTTAAGCTAAAGTTGCTTTGATTTAACTAAGGTCACCCTGACTGTAGGGCATAGGTAAACCTTCATGTCAAAGAGGAGAAAAACATCTGGAATGCAAACCACCACCAGATCCAAGTTTACAAGTCACATGGACTCAGATTAGGAGTAGTAAAAGGAAGATTTAGACCCACCCCCAATTCAGTACTTCATGACTAACATTTATGGAAACTCACTGACACAGGTCTATTCTCTCCAAGAGATGTGTGACAGAGGAGCAAACGGAAAATAATCTTTAATAGGAAACATGCAGTTGAGGTTTTGGAGGGCAGAAAAAGAGAGGGAGAAAAAGCAAAATTTTTTAATACTCAGTTCACACCTCTAGTAATACTAAAGTCCGCAAGTTGTTGCAGTCTAGTCATTAGGAGAGCAGGACTGAAGTTTGTGGGATATACCAACATAGCTGAAAAAAAACCCTGAAACAGTGAAGGTACTAAATGATGACAAAATTTAAAAAAAAGGAAGCAGTCTTCAGCTACAGGCTAGTACCTTGAGCTGATAGTACAGATCTTCTGGCTTTCAACTGTACCTGCCCACACTGCCTCACATCCAGATCTTCTAGAGACCAAAACATTTATAAATATAAGATCTTGCTCTAGCAGCTGGCCTGAATTAGCAGGAGAGTGCATGCATACCAAACAGCACATCTGTGCCCTAAACTAAAATTCACCGAGACTGAGGAAAGATTCTCACTGGTTTTACTGGACTGTGAACCTGACCCCAGAGCATCCTAGATCATAATTTGAAGTGACATCTGCATCCTTGCCAACAAACAGCTTTCTAGAAGGCTCCAAGACCAGGTCAGTCACCACCCCAAATGACTGTCTGTATCAACACAGTACTTTAAGAAGAAAAACAAGCAAGAAACTCATTCTTTGCTTTGCACAACATGAGGGACCATATATTACAAGACAGTAGTAGAAGTTTCACTGACTTCAGTACAGTGAGAATTTCATACTTGTTTATTCCGTGGGAAGGACTACACTCAGGTAAAATGAACAGAGCATAATTAAAACATAAGACAGCCCCACCCTTAAATCTCTTTGTAGCTTCAGGCCTTCTGTCAATGCGTATTCAGCAGAACAAGGCAGGAAAGCAAAACAGACTCATCTTTACCAGTCATATCAACTGAACAAGAACACACAAAGTCCAACAGAATGCATTCTATTTCAATAATAATAATAACATTTTTACTTTGTGAAACTCCTTATAGCAGATGTTTCAAGCAGACATATTTCTTACAATAAGTTCGAAAAATAAGTTTAGCTGAATACAGTCAAAACCCATGCCATGGAGTAATGCAAAGCGGCTAGATACTGTTCTAGTACTTACCCATTTGGCTAGAGCTTCTTTGATAGTTGTTGCTTTTGCCTAAAAATGAAACAAATTGAAATGAATATTCATTGCAAATTTTTAGTTGGCTTGTTCACTGCAAACCTATCTATCTCCCCTCCCTTCTCTCTCCCTATCCTGCTTGTCTGCCTTCTACCACCTCCCTCTATTCTCTTCCTCCAGCTGAGAACCCCTCAGTTTATCATCATTTTACTTCCTGTGGTACTTGGTAGCATTTTCAGAAGCAATCAGTTGGCTTCATGCAAGGACATTATCATCCTGTTCTTAATCTCTGCCCCATGTGGCGCATGGGTTTGGGATGCTGCTTGTTAGGCTTTGATGGTGAAATTAACTCAATTCAAAGACATAAGAAGTTACTGCACTGAAAAATGTGGTCTAATGCTCTTAAACCCCCACACTGTCTATTATTGTCTGCAGCTGACTGTCTGAAAGCAAGTCTGTGAGTAAACAGAATGATACAACCTCTTAAGATTCACTAAGGAAAATAAGGTACATCTTGCCAAAAATCAAGAGCAATCTGGATTGTTTATATTTGTTTTTCTTCAATCGTTTTGTGCAGAGTCACATCATGCTATGTGAAAACATGTATTACTCTGTTTGGAAAAGTCCGAGAGCTGCTGTAGAAGGCTTTTTAAGGATTGACCCACTGACCAACTTTCTGTTGTCACTAACTCCAACTTTTCTGCCTCACATCAGAGTTTTATCAGAACCACATGACGATATGCAAAACAGTAGTGTATAGAGAAACATTAAACATATTCCAAGACATCTTTTCGATAAAAAGGTTCCAGACACCAATCTTTCACAAAAAGTGATCAATAACCTTCTTTCTACAGAAACAAGAGGACTCTAGTTTGGGCATCTCTATTGCTCTTCAGTGTAGCGCTACCATAGGTGGATAGAATCAGCCTTTCGGGTAATCAGATATCAAAAAAAGGACTGTAGAAGTTAAAAACAACGCACTAACTTCCACACGAAATCTTACAGGCAATCGCCTTGGTCACAGAGCTTTAGTGTTGGGTACTTTACCCCAGACCCCTGGAAACTCTGGACACAACAGTGAAAGGCAACAGTTGAGGCAGCTGCATATAAAAGAACAGCTACAGCCACTAAACACCCAGCAACAGCCTATGTCCCAGCAATACACCCAGCCTGCACATGCAGCTCAAACATCAATATATACCTTCATTTAGACATGTATCGCTGAGCAACCTCCGATGTTCCAACTGCTTCTGGCCCTCTGACGGGCATGCATTTTAATCTTGTCTATACCGTGTGATAGCTACACTAAGTCCCATTGCAGATGACCTGGCAAACTTGTGCCACAGCAGTATCTCCTCAGTGTCTACTGCAGACAAACACCTGTGTGACCTCCTCCTGTTCAGAAGATCGTGGCCCTAGTTCCCACTCCAACAGCCTCATGAAACCCGATTAACAGCTACCAGGGTGCCAGCAAAAACAACTGGCTTCCAGTTAATCAGGTTTTTTGGATGGGAACTTCATTGCATTTTTCACAATTATGGTAGCCAATCATTACAGCATTCAGGTACATAATCTCAGTCACTCATGCTGAAGACAGAAACAGATTTATGTGACCAGTGCCTACTTCTGTTTCAAACTCGCACCTAAAACCAAATTGGACTTTGAAGCTAGTGATCCATGTGAGCACAAGGAGCAGCTTCTTCCCTGACCTCTGCTGACTTATTTCGCCTGTTGTAGTACCTAGTCTAGTGGAAATATGAAAATCAACATAGGAGGTTATCAAGACAAAATGTATCAGGGATTTTGTTTTGTTCTTTCAAGTGCACTTGAAGTTTCTGTAGGTAAATCATAGCATCTTCTGCCAAAGGTGGTTACTTAAGGGAAACCTCCCTCTGAGAAGCCTATTTTCAGACTTCCTCTACCTGCATATTGAACAATTTCCTGCAGGTATTTAGACTAAAGTCAGTCATATGACTTAAAATATTCAAAATGCCAAGTGATCAATAGCTGAAATTGTCACCCTGAAGAGTCACCATCAACATGGCAGGGACAAGAAACACTATACCTTAAGGGGAAAAAAAACCCCATCCCTGTCCATATAAAAGTTGTAACAAAAGAAAATATTTTTCCCCCAAAAACATCATTGCTGGACACAGACTCTTTACAAAATTTAGACCCCCAAGCAAAACAGTGACACTTTGCCTTCATTTGCAAGCCTTTACATGTTAAATAGAGCAAATCAGAATTGCACAGCAACGGATACCAGGCTAATCGCTGTGGCAATCGCAGACGCTGCTACCTTAAAAACACGTACTAACTCAGGTTTGTGTAGGATGGCATCCCAGACTCCCCAGTACTTTGATCTATCCCTGAACCCCCCTTTTCCAAGGCACAGTAACAGGCCACAACTCCCCGCCTCAGCCAACGCCCCGAGCGCGGGCTGCCTGCTGGCCAGCTTATGCCGTGCCCGGGCTGCCCGGCGCTAACGACCAGCTCAGAGGAACCCCAGCCTTGGAG